CTAAGAAAGTAACTTAAGAGGCGGAAATCAGCAATTAACAAAATAAACAATTTCCTGTTAGTTGCCTATTTGGATTTGGTGAAAAACAATGTAAATCAAATACAACCATTTGGGGGAGGCTGGAAAATGGAGAAGGAGGAAAGCCATAGGGAGCAAGTAGATTTTAGGGTCTGAAAATTAACATACTGTGCTTTTGAAAACCTAAACTGAATTGTGACAGAAGCTCTTTGAGCGGGCTAAAACAAGCAACTATGCTTTGGTCTTTCAACAGTTACCTTGTGTGGTCTAAAATGTATTAGCACAAAGTAAACTGGGGAGTTGCTGATTGGCCATTAGATGTTTCTGACCTAAATGATCCAGGCTCCCTATCTATCCAGACAAATTCACTTTGTTATCCAGCTACTGCCTGTTTAATTATTTACGATGTGCCCACAGGTTTGCTGGGCATGTGGTATCTTTGTTTCCCCCCATTCAAAAAAAAAAAAAAAAAATGTGTAAAGTCAAATGCATATATTATTTTTAAGATCCAATTAAAAAATGGTTACGAGTGTTTGTTATCTGTGAAGAACTGGTAAATACAGCCCAACTTCTGCCTGCAAGGAGCCTAGTTTATTTAAACCATGGGCCAAAACACATATAAAACTTTTATTTCATTTAAATGTGTATAAGAGATGTGAAAAGGCTGCTTGTTGTCCATGTTGGAGAGCTCAGTGTCAAGACATAGGTAAATATATTAGTATAAAGATAGTAAAAGTGTTTCTCCTACACAAGATACCATGATAATGGCAATAATTACATTAAGAAAAATAAGGGCTGCCACCTTGGGCAAGGTCAGACCATTGGTCCCTGTGAAGCTGCAAGCCCTGGTCAAGCAGCCACAACAGGTGACTAAACAGCTGCCTGGCTATATTATCTGCCAACTTCTTCCACCAGCAGAAACAGAGATTCTTTTCCTTCTTCCAATATCTCCTACATTTAAAGAGGACAATCAAATCCGATGTCCCAAGTCACTGATGCTGCCTTGACTACACAGAAAATTCAAACTGCCACTGCAATGTGAGGAAGCAATGGAGTACAGCCATACCCAAGCAGGATACAACAAGTAGCTCCAGCACCTGGGGCACGGGGTTAACCTCTCTGAACTCTAATTTCCTCCTGTCTCTGTGGTTAGCACAGGAGCAAGTCAGAGAATTACGGTAAGCACTTTTCACGTGTTTTGCATGTAGTGCGTGTTTAACAAATGTTGGCTACTGTTATTGCTTCTAAATACCAAAATAATGCAATGGCTGAATTTCCTACTGATTAAAAAAGAACCAAAGATCAATGGTTGCCATTTTCTGGGGATGAGGACCACAAAGAGACCTGGGGGAGATTTCTGAGGTGATGTTGTGCCCTATATCTTCATGATGGTGGTGATTATATGACTGAATGTATTGGTCAAAGTTCACAAAACTGGACACAAACCAGTGTGAATTTTACTGTATGTAAATCATACCTCATTTTTTTAAAGTATCCAAAGTATTTAACTAGTTCTGACTAAAATAAATCATCCACAGCAATAGACATTTTAACTTCATTTCTTTCTAAACTTAAACAGAAATCTAAGGCCTAAAATGCTACTTCATATTTTTAGACCAAGCTCTTGAATTCAAGGATTGAGCTATTTGCAAATAATGGATGCCATCTGAACAATTAACCAAATTAACTGTTTCAAAATAAAGCATAGATTATATTGAATAGAGTGATGAAATCAATTATGGAAAGAGAAAATGAAAGTGATGTTTTCATTTACTAGATTACTTAAGATGACAAACATAACGGCTTCTTCTCTAAAATCTAGTAATGGGCCTTTGTAAATAATCTCAAAAGTCTACCGTTATTTTCAATAAGCTAAGGAAAAGTGGAAAAGTCTGGTGATGATTTCCATGATTTCTTTATCATCTCAAAGTATTTGTAAAAGGTTCTATAATGCTGCTCACTCTGAATTTTAATCAACGCTGTTAACATAACCAAGGAGCTCTTTTAGTATAGATCTGTGCATCTATTTTGGCAGAAAATATGGTTTTACAACAATTTCTTACTCAACACCACTTTACAAAACAGATGCAGTATCAAATCAATTATTTTAAAGGAGGAATAAGATTTGGGTCAGCCTACAGTATATTTCTGCATATTCCCTGCACTTTAGCAACAGTCCCTTTTCTTTGCCCACCTTATATCACATTTAGGCCATTATTTCTCCCTCTGATTTAAGGATCTCCATCAGAGGGATGTCAAGACTGTAATGAAGATGGAAGCGAGGAGAGAAGCACAGTTCAGAAGCCCAACATTTCAACTAATATGACCCCATATATACTGGCCTCAGTTCCCCAGGTAGCATTCACTCCCTGCTATTCCCTCAAGTCCCCAATTACCACCTTGCTTACTAATCTACTCCTGCCTCTACTCAGAGACCACCTGACTGCATTCATCCCCTCATATTAAAAAAAAAAAAAGGAAACCATGGAAACATGTCACTATCGCTTTTTCACGTGGGCTTTAGCTTTTTATTCTCTTTTTTAAAAAAAACAAAAGTGAAACGTAATTTCTGCCATTCACATGACAAAACTATCTGTGCAGTATTCATTGCTTTATGAAATTTGATGTTAAAGACTTTGTTTTCTATTAGGATACTGTCCTGATGCTGGAAGTTATCTTCAGAAAATACCACAATACATTCCAAAAATCTTGATGCTCCAAGGCACCAATTCAAGGGGAAATATACCAAGTAGTTAGCTATTTAAATATAACATCCTCTCTTTCCTGTAACCCAGTCTTGATCAACTTTCAACACTACTTCCATAATTTTCAAAAGTTTAAGAAAATGCAAAGTGAAAACAGAGGCAAGAAAAAGGAGTATGTCAAGCCTTCTTTGGAGGTACAATACAATGAACAAACTATGACACTGGCAAATCCAAAAACAATTATTTTATAAATTAACAGAACTCAGAGAAAATATGCACTTTCTCCATTCATTCAATAAGCAATTTATTGAGCTGCTACTACGTTCCGGGCACTTTGTATCTAGGGGTACACTGGTGAACAAGAAGCCAAATGCCTTCTTCACAAAGAAGAAAAATGACAAAATATTTTTGAAAGTTTCAGAATTCAACGTAAGTTATCAATATCATTTCTAAAATCAGTGATTTTTGAACAATTAATCATTTCCCCCATGTGCTTCTAGAGCCTTCAATGAAGAAATGATATCCATTGACAAGTTCCCAATTCCACATATCAGAAATACTAACAAATCATCCTTCTTGCTTATTGCCCATTAATGTAAAATTAAAACAAACGTTTTTGTAATTCAGTAAGTTACACTATGAATCTCACTATGAATCTCACTAATAAAGTTTGATTTTTTTTTAAAGCAAAAAGTTCTCAAAACAATGAAAAGAAAGGGGTTAAAATTATGTAGGCTGGTATCTATTTTCACCTCAAATTTTATTAACACCAAAATGCAAAATCACCACAAATATTTTATGACAAATAAAAACAGAAATGTCACATAACTCTGTCAATAGGATTAACATGCACAGTGGAAAGCAACATCCACGGAAACATAAGCCACAGAGTAAAAGAAAACGTAAGTCACTAAAAGCTATGTAGGCAGCAAAAAGACACTTTACTTTCCTTAGTTTATCTCTAAGTGTGTGCCGCAGGTAGTTAATACACTTGATCTCCAAGCCCTTCAAATTGTGTCCTTGCCCAGACATAAACTGTGCAAACAGATGACAAAGCGAAATGCAGTTTCACAACTGCCTCTTACATAGAGTAGCAAGATGGTATATTTCACTAGATGACTGCATAAGTTGATAACACCATCAGACATTTTCACAGTACTTGGACGATTTCTGTAGGTCCAATGAAATTTCAGATACTACCACCGCCAACTCTCTTCACTGTAGCACGTTCTGCCCTCTCTCCCACCAGTTATCAGCCACAGGAAGGGTGGGTGCAGCCTGTCAATTTGCTTTGCTGCTCCCTGTCCTGATAGCTCCTTGATTTTCAGAAAGCAATGTTTTCATTTGCTCCAAACTTGAGAATGAGCTGGTCTTGCCTAAGGCTCTGCTCTTCTTAGCTCATCAACTTTTTTTTTTTTTTTTTTTTTTTGCACTTCACGTCACAAGAAATATTTTTACATAGCGGACCAAAATGTAACATTAGAATGAAACCAACACAAACTCGGGAGTTCCTAATATCACTTCTTGAGTTTAAAATGTTCAAAACAATCGCTGGCTTTCTTCCGCTAACACTGTGCAAGCAAAACCAAGCAAACTGCCCAAAAGAACTTCCACAGAACTCGAGGCCTGCCTACTGCAGCAAGGAAAAAGATTAAATCATGTGGAACTGTAATCTCTCAGAGCTTTCGAGCCTAAGAAAGCGGAAATCTGCATTTATGTTCAGAAATCTAGTCTATTTTTCTTTGTGACTTAGTGACCGGTGACTGGGAGATTTTGCACCCTCCAAGTGTAAACATTTGTAAGAGGCAACTAACTATATACAGATCAGAAGAAACCTATTAAATAATCTCTGTTCACCCTCTGTTCGCCGCCTGGGATTTTTAAGAAAATGTTCTCACATTTCACATAATCCCTATCTGTGTTTAAGACACAATAGAAATCTTACAGGGAGTCTGTTAACCAGACCAGGCTACACCTAAGAGTATGCCCTACCCAGGCAGGTACAAGGCCCTAATGCCAGACCAATCCTGGAAGAGGTGACAGCCCCAAGTTCAATTGAGGATGTCTGAGCACAGCTCCCCCTGCACATTAGGGATCACCTCTCCATTCTTTCCACATACCATTTGCATCCAATCCCCGCTCAACCACCCCAAGCACCCATGCTCCAGTGGTTCCTGTTAGCAGTGGGCTTCCTCCTTCCACCACCACTCCCCCAGGGGGAAAAACAGACCCCAAGGACAGCTGACGGTGGGCGATGAGCGCCCTTCTCCCACCTACCTTGATGATGCTGCTCCGGCGGGGCAGGCCGCCCGGCTTGCTCTCCCGGGGGACGGGACAGACAACCGCGCTGGGGGTCGGGGCGAGCGCAACGCCGCGGGGTCCCCTGGCAGGGCTGGCCCGGGCTTCGTCGCCGGACACGCCGAGGCTGCAGTCTCCGTTGGAAACCCCGCCGCTGTCATAGCGCGCCCGCCCGTGGCCGAGGCGACCTCCCCCGCCACCGCCTTCCCCTACTCCGGCTTTCAGGGCGCCCTTGGCGCCGAGGGCCGGGCCCGGGGAGGTGGGCAGGGCCCCGCCGGCGGCGCCCCCCCGGCCGCACTCCGCCATGGGCGCCCCGCGACCCGCCTGCACAAAGCCGCGTCCTCGCGTCCCCGCGTCCCCGCCGCCGCCTCGGGCCGCCGCGCGCGGCCCCTCCTCCTCTCCTCCTCTCCTCCTCCCGCCGCCGCCGCCTCGGCCGCTTCTTCCGCTTTTTTTTTTTTTTTTTTTTTTTTTTTTTTTTAATTTATATGTGATGTTTGTTTCGAGCTCTCGCCTTGTGCACGGTTAAAGTCGCGGCGGCAGAATTATCGGAAGATTCCTGCAAGGGAGAGAAGACAGAGACGAGTCAGCTCGTGCGCCGGCGGAGCCGCGGCTCCCGGCACCTGGGGAAGGAAAACACGCCCCAACACACGCGCCTCTGCGGGCGCCAAAAATAACCCGCGCGGGCCGGGCGCCCACCCCGGGGCAACCCGCGCCCACCTCAGGGGCCCCAGGCACCCAGCTCGAAGTAACAGGGCGCCCACGTCAGGGGCTCGGGGCGCGCTCCCCCGGGGCTCAGAGCAACTGGGGTCGGAGCACCCGCCACGCAGGAAAAGGCGCCCACCTCCGGCGAAGGACGAGGGGAAGTAGCGGCCGCCCCGACGCTCTCTGGACATGCGGAGGCGGCTCCCGAGGGTCTCCCGGCCCCGGGCGGACTGGGGGCGACGCGCGGGTCTCTCCGGACCCTAACTCCCCAGAGGCCGCCGCGTGCCGAGCTCTGTCACGTCCCTCAGAGCCCCGGTTGAGGCCCGCGGCGCCGAGAGGAAGCGCACGGTGGACAGGGGCGGCCGGGTGTGACAATCGCCGTGCGGCCCCAGGGCAGCTCCCGGAGGGGGCAGCCCAGACCCACCCCACCCGCCGGCTGCTGTCTCCTCCTGAGCTCGGCGCTGCCCCCTACAGGCCGCTGGCCCCTCCGCGGTCGCCCCCTGACCCACCGCGAGCCGCCCAGCTCCCGCTCTAGATTGCCGCCGTCGCGGCTGCTGTCACCGAGGCCGGGTCATCTGGCCGCGGGTACCTCAAAGCCGAGTGGACTGGAGACCCAATTCCTTGCCTATCTTTCGCCTCCCCCGAGCTGCTGCAACTGTCAGTCACCCGCCCGGAACCCCGAGGGGCAACTACCGCGCAGGCCTCGGAGCCCAGAACCAGGGTCCTGGGGCTTAGGATCTCGGCCGCTGCGCCTCATTCTTGCCTCAGCCCCGCGCACTGAACTCGTTTCCTTCCCACCCAGCTCGGGACGCTCCTCTCTGACTTCCCCAGTGGGTCAGACTCATTTCATACACTGAAACGAATTCCGTTCTGTTGGGCTCCTGATTGATTCAACTAGCTGGAAGGATGCTGAGGCAGGGGTGAAGGCTGGGGTGGCTGGCAGGCTGTGAGGGGCAGAGGACATCAGCAGAGCCTATTTCGTGCCCTCTGAGTCTCCACACAGAGATTTATCACTGAGTCCTTCCCGATTCCCCTACCAGGGATGCCGGCTGGCCCTGCCTGCCTGCGGGGCCCAGCCTAGGTCAGGCTCATCTTTTGGGACAGGATCCCACTTGCAGCGTTACAGTCAGCCCCTCCTCTGGTTCTCCTGCACCCACTTAAGGCGGAGTGACTGGCCTGAAAGTCCACAGTGGTCATGTGGCTTCCGCTCGCAAATATCTCCCCTGGATCTCCCTCCCTGGAGCCAGACAAGACCCAAAACTCCGAAGCGTGAGACCCCAGGCCTTCCACCACCACCCCCGCGCCACCCCACGCCCCAGGCCTAGGCCCACCCACCTCTCCATCCCAGGTTCCGTGGGCTCCAGCCTCCTACCCTCTCTAGCACCCCAGCCCTTCCCCAACTCGTGTGCTTTCTTTTCCAGAAATGCAGTCCCCGCAGGGCGCGAAGGAGAAACTGATGGTCCGCAGTGGGGTGAACTTAAAGACCTGACTTTCATTAGCGTGGTGTTGTGACAGACTGCCTAGGAGCCTCTGAGGAAATGGGCTTTACGTACGTATACATACTCGCCCTTGCCCCTGAAGCGACACAAAATACTTTCATATTATTCTTGGGGGCGTTTTAATTCTTCAGATCCTCTGGATTCGTGTTTTTGTAACCCATCAGACGAGTTTTTGTACATCTCTTTCCAACCTGGGCCTACACACTAACAGAAATAGTTTTACATCGAAGGACAATGCTTTAGTGTTTTATTCAGTCTCATCTCTTTTCTTTTTTTTTTCTAGTTGTGTTTCAAAAAAAATTTTTTTTTTGTCTTGTGATAGTTTTGGAGGAAAAAAATATTGAAATTATTCAAATCAGGCTCTTAACTCTGCTTCGGGGGAGGAAAAAAAAGAATGCTGGCGTCTTTATTCTTCAAGTTCCCTAATTTTGATATTTTAAATAAATACCCAGAGGTGTCTCTGCCTTTTCTGTGTTAGTGTCTAATCTTTCCTGCATTTACGAGTCACTAGTAAAATGCTATGACAGCCATAGATCCCGTGGCTCTCACTGTGAGTTTCCTGGGCTGAGTAGGGACTTACTGAGGTTTAACCCCCAGGATGCTTTTTTATAGAAGCACCAGCTGATTCACCAGTGCCCTCCAAAATGAGCACCTATCCATCTCACTCTGGACTCCTAACAGGTCAAACCAGGGAGCTTCGTTGAAATAGATTTGGCATTTAAATTAAAATGTTTCCCAAAGCATCTTGGCAGACCTGTAACTAATGATGCCAGAGGCCCAAGGCCTGTGCCAGATTCCTTTTTATCCCCATAAGTGCTTGTCTCCCACAAGCCACTGGTCACATGCCTGCTGATGTTATAGCAGCACTTCTTTATCCCACAAACAGCCCAACTGTAGGTACCATATCTCAGACATGGTGAAGGGAAGCAGCATGTTCTTCTGACATGTGCAATGCTTGGCTCACAACAGGCTTTTTAATAAGCTAAACTCAGATTTTTCATCACAAATAGTGTAGTAAGTAATTGTTTTTCCTCATTCCTACTTGTCTCTCTGCAGTCACTGAGTGGTTGCCGTCCATTCCTCATATTACACAAGCAATATTATTGAAGAAATTGTAAATATTTTGCCAAAATTCTTGCTGAAGTATTTTCATGGCATTGTGAAATTCATAGAAGTTGGAGTTAGAAAAAGCCAAAATGCAATAGTCACTCCTCAGCAAATATTGTCTAATGGTTCCCTCAGACATTTCAGAGTAGGACAATAAAAAATAGGCAAGACATTAATAAAATGCCCGTTCTAAATAGCTCCATGATGCTTATGCCAATTTATTTTATCTATTTGCTAATGGTTGGATTCTGGTGAGCAACCTGCTCATAATATTTAAAGTAGATACCTTTAAAATCTCATTGTATCATGCCAACAGTACATGGCTTTGTCGCTTTTAAATTTTCTTCGTATTTCAATCCATCTCAGATTTTAATCATTGTCACTCTTCACCAAACTGTCTTCTATTTGCATCATCAATTTAATGCCCAGAACTTGAACTATTCAGACTCCCTGTTCCATAAGAACCTTTCTTCAGTCTCTCAAAATAACACTGACTCAGTTTACTGACTTCTTGCCATCATTTATACCCTTGTAGGTTATGAATTCATATCTAGTTTCCAGTTCACAGGCTCCGATATTAGGACTCTCCAACTTTTTTTTCTGATTCAGTGAGTACTTGGCTTTCAGATTATTTTCTTCCTTAATGTATTATGACAATTTTCATTTCCCAAACCTCAATCACATGTTATTTCCTCTATTTCTCCAAAGATGCAGTTCAACCTCTGAGCCTTCATATTCAACTGCTGTTCATATGCTTAACATAAATGCTAACTAGAGCAGAAAGTAGATGACCAAAATGCTTTAAGGAAATAGCAGATTATATCAATGTGCTAGTCCAACTGGCTACTCATTTGCTTCCTGAGTCAATCCAAGGGGCTGATTTTAATCTATTATGCTCCTACAGCTTAAATTATATTTATTTTATCATGATCCTCAACAACAAGAAATATGTAGCGATTGATTGCCTTTTTTCCTGAGCAGTAATGTGGCAAGTTAGGACTGCCAAAAGTTTTCATTTCCTTATTTTCTCTTCTGACACTAAAGATCCTTAACCCATTTTCCTTGGATCCATCTTCCACAAGTGTCTATGGCTGCCAAGAAGTTAGGCACTCAGTGAATTACAGCTATGCTTTTCAGCCACTGAGAAACTACTTTGTGAGTTCATTAAGTTTTTTCAGTGGCTATTGGTAGCATTTTGAGGGAATCTGTTAATCAATGGGAATTTGAAAAGATCATTCTATCAGCAAAAGGATACAATATGAGGGACTATATTAATGAGTTCCTCAAAAATAACTGTTACTTATTACACTGGTTTTATAAATTCTCTCTCATGTATTTGGTTGTATGTCTACCATTATTTTATTACAGGAGTCATTGCAAACTCAAATGTGTATGGGGGCCAGGTAGGTAATGTAATAAATGAAGTTGGAGGGATTTGTTTCATAATAGCATCATAATTCATGTTTTTTCAACAACGATATACTTTGCGTATCAGAGTAATACTCTTCCTGATTCACTTCTAATTTTGTTAGGGCCTTGATACAAGAAATATTTCACTTTCCTCTTAACTCTAAAAAAGATGTGTGAACGTACTGATAAACAGCAACTGACACCCAGCCAGGTGTAGTATGACAACATGGAATGTTAGATTCAGGTATTCTGGTGAGGAATCTTATTGCTACTTTGAGGGAATCTTGGCTAAGTGCTGCCAAGACCATCTTATTTTTCTAGAGAAGCCAGATATCTGGAACATAAAACGTGTTATTTAGTTAGTTAGTTCATTCTCTGAAGGGAAGGACATCCACAAATTGAGGTCTTCACGTATTGTTCTTTATGAAGTCTATAGGGAGACCTATTTTTTTTTCCTGTCCCACCTCCAAATGGCATGATAAGCAAAGCTTAGCAAATGCCTTCCAAATTCTGCATTTCTTTGGGTCTTGTCAATCTGTTTTTTATTGACAGGTTTATTTTCAGGAGTTTTAAGAAGTCAGAATATCTGATGACCACATCATTTTACACATCCCAATATGTGATGTGTTGCTCCCAAACTACTTCCCTTCA